TCGTTTTCGTGGACGACATTCTTATCTATTCACCTTCAGAGGAGGAGCACGAGGAACACTTGAGAGTGGTGCTTGGGTTGCTTAGAGCCCATAGGCTGTATGCAAAGTTTGGGAAGTGTGAATTCTGGCTAGGAGAGGTGAGATTCTTAGGCCATGTGGTATCCGGGGAAGGGGTGTCCGTTGATGCATCCAAGGTTGAGGCAGTGCAAGAATGGGCACAGCCTAAGAGTGTGTTTGAGATCCGCAGTTTTCTGGGATTAGCTGGGTATTACCGCTGGTTCGTGAAAGATTTCTCCAGGTTAGCCTCGCCGTTGACTAGATTGACACGGAAAGAGGTCAAGTTTGTATGGAGTGAGACTTGCGAAAAGTCGTTCCAAGAGCTGAAGGTTAGATTGACCACCGCTCCGATTTTGATTATTTCGGAGAGAGGGTTGGGTTACGCGGTTTATTGTGATGCCTCACGAGAGGGTTTGGGTTGTGTGTTAATGCAAGAGGGGAAAGTGGTAGCTTATGGCTCACGTCAGTTGAAAATTCACGAGAAGAATTACCCTACACACGACCTAGAGTTAGCAACAGTGATCTTTGCCTTGAAAATCTGGAGGCACTACCTTTATGGTGAGAGGTTCGAGGTGTTCTCGGACCACAAGAGTTTGAAGTACCTGTTTGCACAGAGAGACTTGAATTTGAGGTAGAGGAGATGGATGGAGTTCATTGAGGACTATGATTTTGAGTTGCACTATCACCCGGGAAAGGCCAATGTTGTGGCCGATGCCCTTAGTAGGAAATCCATTAGTGATGTAGCTTGTATAGCCATCCGGCATCCTTCAAGGCATTAATGTAGCGATACATATTTGGGTCCACATCATAGACTCCGCCCACTTTGCCTTTATAGTTGATGATTAAATCAAAATAAGGGAATGCAACCATACTGTGATCATAATGAGTAATAATTAATTACAAAAAAAAATAACTCCAATCAACAATTACTCATCCAAATGTAACAAAATTCAAAGCAAAAGACATAAAAATAAATAAATCAATCAAAATAAAAGCTAATGCAATCATAATTGCATGACAAAAAGAATAATAAAAAAAATCCTTAAATCATTATTTCTAAGAAAATTAAGAAGAAAATTGTTTTTTACAGTACATTAGCAAAACCTAATTCCCAATTTCATAACAAACATTAATAAAAGTTTATACAATACAATCATAATTTGCATAAAATCAAAAATCATAATAAATAGAAGACAAAAAAAAAAAAAATGCCCAACATTAAAAAAAAATTGCACTTGGCCAGTTGACTGCCCGGATATCAGGTCGAACATCCCTACGGACAACCGGTCACCCAACATCTCCCAGTCCAAACTGCTCATCCATCCTCATTCCCATGCGCGTGAGAGATTCGGTGGATCATCTCGCCGACTTGTATATTCGGGACATAGTGAGATTGCACGGGGTCCCAGTGACGAACGTCTCAGATAGAGATCCTCGTTTTACTGCTAGGTTTTGGCAGAGTTTGCAGAGTGCTTTGGGTACTAAGTTGACCTTTAGTACGGCTTATCATCCTCAGACTGACGGACAATCCGAGCGTACTGTTCAGATCCTTGAGGATATGCTTCGAGGTTGTGTCCTTGACTTTGGTGGGACGTGGGAGAGGCATTTGCCCTTGGTGGAGTTTGCCTACAACAACAGCTTTCAGTCTAGTATCGGTATGGCACCGTTTGAGGCCTTGTATAGCCGACCGTGTAGGTCTCCAGTTTGTTGGGCCGAGGTGGGTGATGCACCTTTGTTGGGTCCGGAGTTGGTTAGGGAGACGCCGGAGAAAGTCGAGCTTATCCGTAGGAGGCTTATTACAGCCCAGAGTCGTCAGAAATCTTATGCTGACCGTAGGAGGAGGCCGTTGGCGTTTGAGATAGGTGATCATGTCTTTCTGAAGATATCACCTAGGCGGGGTTTGATGAGGTTCGGGAAGAGTGGGAAGCTATCCCCTCGGTTTATTGGTCCCTTTGAGATCCTCGAGAGGATTGGGGAAGTGGCTTTTCGTTTGGCTTTGCCGCCGCAGTTGTCCAAAGTACATGACGTCTTTCATGTGAGTATGCTTCGGAAGTATGAGCCGGATCCATCGCATGTATTAGATTGGACCGACTTAGAGGTAGATGAGGATGCCTCGTATGAGGAGAGACCGGTTCGGGTCTTGGATAGGCGGGATCAAGTCCTGCGTGGCAAGACCATCCCTTTGGTAAAGGTTTTGTGGAAACATCACGGAGTGGAGGAAGCCACTTAGGAACGTGAGTTGGAGGTTCGCGAGAAATACCCGGACTTGTTTATTGTTGAGTAATCTGGTATTTAGATTATGTATTGTGGTTGGACTTAAGAGCTTTATATATGTCTTAAGTTGTAAAACATTGGTAATTTTTGGTTTAATGAAAGTACGTTGTAGAACTTACCTTGATATGGGAGTTGATTATGATATTGCATATGTTGACTATATTGTCGA